GGCACGTTACCTCTGCACCCACGGATGTGCTCCCAAACCTTCAGCTGGTAGAGCAGCAATGTACAGAAGGTGAGTGGTTCCACCATCATCAAACATCATTCATTTGTCCTGATTTCTGCATCAGTATAAGATTATTATGTTGGGTTAATGAAAATAAATGCATTCAATTTAGCATAACTTGTCACGCAACAGAGACAGTGCACAAATATATTAGTTTTTTATTTTAAAAGTAAAACGAAACCCTGAGAAATTAGCTTCATTTAGCTGATCAGATGTAATTTTGTTTCTTTATAAACTGTTTAAACATTTTAATCAATACAAAGCTGTTTAGGTTTGTTTTATTCAACATCCGCCCACCATACATGAAGCCGTGACAAATACTCGTATTCTTTACTTCTGTTTAGTTGCACTGCAGAAAAGCACATCTGAGAGCCTCCTAAACCAAACTCCCACAGTCTTTTACTTTCATCTCACATTTTATTGGTTGTATTCACCTAAACACACATATAACCTGATAATTAACTCAATCAATTCAACAAAAGGGCACCTGGTCCAATCATAGATGACCAATAATCCACCAGCAGTCAGCATTGCTCCAGATGGAGGCGATCACAGAGGAATGTAGAAGATAAATCAGTTTGTATTAGATGCTATATCGATATTAGGAAAAGCTGCAATTTCTAGGCACTAAAATCTATACTGTTTCTGTTTGAGTGGGCTGATACTTTCAGGCAGAAACTGTTTTCATAAGAGCTGTGTGTGTGTGTGTGTGTGTGTGTGTGTGTGTGTGTGCGTGCGTGCGTGCGTGCGTGCGTGCGTGCGTGTGTGTGTGTGTCCGCTTGAAGAGCATCCCTCATGTGCAGCTTTTTACATCTACAGTAATAGCATCTCTGTATAAAAACCAAAACTTTACTTTTTTGATTACTTGTCACTAACAGAGCCACTAAACTTTCAAACAGAAAGTGAGAAGCTTTTACTAGAAAACATAAAAAAATAAATACCTGCTATAAAAACGACCTGATTTACTTGTTTTATAAGCAGAACATTAAGATGCTGTTTTTTTACACCCTTTGTTTTAAATCCTTGTAAAGAGTCATGTAATAATATAATAAACATATGTCAGAAAGAAGCCCAATAATGTGGAAGAACATTTAAACATTTAACTGTCTATGGGTCATGGACATACCATATATTTACATATATGGAACGGCTTGCCATGCTATGTTTTTACAACAGTAACTGAATTAGATTCAAAGCAGAAACATTTTAGTCCAAAAAGCATCTAACAGACATACATATAAAAAAGTGTTTGTCTTCAAAAGTCACAGCAGGCATGAGATTCCCGCATTTTCTTTAAAAATGACTTTTTATTACAACTTTATTTGTCTCTGAGGGTACTCAAAAATCATCTCATTTTCTGTGCATCTCTATAAACTGACTCAGCTTTTAGGAAAGGTGTTCTGTGACTTCTGTGATTAGAAAAACAGAGAAAATGCTGAGCGACATCTCCTTAATTTGCAGCACTCAGTACGCAACATACGGCCAGACAGGAAATCATATTCAGTTTCAGTGTAAAACCGCAGGTACATTTCAAAATAAAAGACTATTGCAGCGTAGGGTGACCAGATCCCAACTTGCCAAATGTGGGACAACGTGAAGTTCCAATATAATGAGAAAACAAACAAACAACTGTATATTCTGCATTTTTGCCCTAATATCGCTGTTACATAGACATAAAATTATTATTCTTATTATCATCATATATTTCTTGTGTAAATTTCATTTGAATTCAACATGAACAAGCATACAGCAAAAGCTTTACTATTTCACAGTTCCTCTCAAGTTACCGCAACATGACTCAGGCTCTTTGGGCCTTCTGTAGTGGCTCTGATCATTTAATAATATAGATAGGCTACAATAATAGAAAATGCAGGTTTAAGCAGCTTTTCAGAGTTTTCATTGAATGTTTTCCACAACAGAATGACAGTAAAATCACCAGTAATATATTTTTTAGATCTATTTATGTTTTCTTTTAATTGATTTTCCACTAAAATCAGCTTCTCATTGAAAAAATATCCATACTTTTTTTGCTATTTTTTCATAATTCAGAAACAAAATGCTTTTTTTAAACATGACAACAAATCTCTTCAAGATTTTAGGTGAGAGAATAAAAATCAGATTCTAATCTCTAAAAAATTCAGATCTAATCTAATAATAGAGTTTCTCAGAGTTAGTTTTTGCCTCAAAAGGCAAAGCAGAATAGAAAATAGTGTTTTTAGCCCCGTTGACGTGCATTCATTTTTTCATTCTTCCGGGGACCCATGAGCCAACAGGAAAGGGAGGAGACTTAGGCTCCGTGTATCAACACAAGTAGTAAACAAACACATGGCGAAGCAGATGAAGTTAAAACAGGATGTGCACAATGGCCGAAGGAATGGCCAATGCTGCAGTAAAGTTTATCTGGTACATACTATTCTGTTTGACGTGCCACACAAGTTACTTTGCAGCGATGAAATTATCAGAGGACCACTTCATCGGTCTCGTCACTCCCAGAAGTTACCGGTATCAGCTCCACTGAGCCGTTTACATGTAGATGCTTGGTTTTCCCACCTGTGTATCTGGGTTCTTCAGCACAAGTGTTGTGCCCGAACACGTTCATTAAACGATCGTTCATGAACTCATTCGTTTTTTGTTGTGAACATGAAGTGAACTCATTCATATTTTACCTGACGAATGTTAAAGTGAGTACGTTCGTTCTGGCATGCATGAACTGGTTTATGAACGAACATCCTCTGACTTTGAGGGTTGTTCCAGCTCATCGTTTCTACACGGAAGCTGAATTAACTGGAATAAATCGGGTCACCAGTCACAGTCACAGCGGTAATATTTAACTATTCGTTTATTTATTTATTTGCTTTCCTTTTTACTAAATCATTTGGGGCTGATTGTTGCTCTCTATGACCCAAGCGTGGCATAGTCTCTGTGGTGTTTATAACTCTGCCAGCTTTGATTTGACCAGAATTCAAAACATCCAGATTAATAAAACCAGTTCCAACGCCATCTTAGTTCAGTTCTCAAGATCTCACTGGAGTTCACTGCATGCTAAGCGGAGTATCAGACCGGCCATCCGTACTTCCCTTTTTAAGCTGAGAACCAACAAGCTGGAAAAATCTGTTGCATTTTACCAACCAAGCAACGGTTCCTTTCAGAATAAAAGCTGAGCTCACTGACCCAAGGAGGGTCCCTTTTGATGCTGTGAACCACCTGTCGCTTTTTACCTGGAGACGATCCAAAGACTGGTTTGTCGTACTGCCGACGCTGTTTCATCGGCTCCAGTACCAAGGAGGGTCTGTGGACCTGGCACTCCGGATCTGTACGGAAGTCTCATTGAGGGTATGTGTGGATGCGACAACTATGGCGTCTCATGTGTTCATGAAACTCCGGTCAAAACTCTGATCGTAATTAGAAGCAAAACATCATCCCTCACTCAGACTTGCTTCTCCGGATACAAGAGTTCTGATAATAACATCACTCACACACAGCATCCACCTCACGTCACATTCATACCAGATACATCCATCGTTAGAGAGTTAGTCTTTTTTAAATTGTTTAAATTATTTAGTAATAAATCATCAAACGTTTAAAGGACTCTCTCTCTCTTCTCTTGTCTCTCAGTTAATACAAAGTGTTACAAATCCCTACAATAAAAAAGATCCAGTCTTCTGGTTAAATAACTCAGTGGTCCGTAAGATTGATTCCATACTCGATATGCAATCCTAATGTCTCACGGTCCTTAATTAGATGTAAATTAACGTAATTACAGCACTCTGAATATTGGAATTTGAGGTACATCTAAGTTTCCTATCTCAGCCTAGTTCATGATTGATTGATAATTCGCCTTTTTATGAAAACCATTCAAACAGTTTTTCCTCGTGGTATTAAAAAAATTATATATATATATATATATATATATATATATATATATATATATATATATATATATATATGTATATATAAACAACTATGAACTAGTTCGTTTTTGGATCAGTGAACTTAGTTAAAAAATATTTTATGACGAACTAAACAATGAACTAGCTTGATTTTTAAACAAACTTTACCAACAGAACCAGTTTGTCTGCAGCAGACTATAACTAACTAGACTAACGTGCTTACATGCATTTAAAAGAAACACCAGTCTATTTGGGGCAAAAGTTCAGTTTTCTGATGCACGTGTAAACGCACTGAATGAGGATTGTCACTACATTTACAAGTTACGAGTCTAAATGAGTTACGAGTCTAAATGAGTGACGAATCTAAATGCTGACACAAGATGAAGGCAAATCCCTCGTCCAGTCTGACGGAGTTAAGTAATCTGTAGCACCACTCCAAGGAGCTGAACCATGTTTGTATCAAAAGACACGATGCCCATAAAACCACAGCAAATACATGACAGTCGATGTTGAAAAAAAAAAGAGCGAGTTATTTTGTCGTAAGCCAACCGATAAATAGCAATCCCACCTTCCGTTAAGGAGAAAGAACTATTACATCCGCCATAGCTGAGTGGAGAGCAAATAAAATATGTGTTAAATAATTCATCAAATGTCCAAACATCGACGAACGGAACATATTTTCTTTCCGTCCTGAGCGAAGGTAAACAGCAAACTAGCTATGGGGGGGGGGTGAAATCTAGATTCTTATTAATCACTCTGGTATTGTGACAGGCAATACCTCTGATTGCTAAGCAACCAGCTCCTCCAGGGCAACAGTCAGACTGATGAGATGTACAACGGGATCTCCTCTCTAAAGTTACGGAAGCGTCCATTGTGTGGCAGCAAACCAACACAGATGATCAGCAGCGTGTGTTCTTGTTCACTTATTAATCATTCAAACACACATTGTGTACAAAACAGGATCAATACAGCAAACGCATCAGAAGTCACTCTTTTGCTCTTGTTTTAATATTGTTTAATCCACACGGAACGAGGATGCTAATGTCTTACCTTAAAGAGGCGCAGGATGTTGGCCACCATGATGGAAACGGAGCTGGAGGAAGCTCCAATCACACCCACCACTCTCTCGGGTTTGGTGATGATGGGCGGGCCCCCGCCGAGACATTTGACGTCCGTCCCATCCTTCTCAATCAGAGCCTGCACGAAGGTGAGTGACTGCTCCAAGGCGTGAGTGTCCCTGGAACAGGTGTCTAGGATCCGCGCTCCCAGAGTGATGTTCGGCAGAAGATTATTATCATTATTGATGCGGTCAAGGGCAAAGAGCATCGCCTCTAGTCTATGAATTCCCTTCTCCTTTTTCAGCTCCCCACAAGGCTTCCCGTCGTGACCCCTGGCATGCACTGGGAATAGCCCACCTAAGGAGATGTCTCCGTCAATGCGGATGGAGTTCAAGTGCGCTTGTCCTGGCCCTTTGGGCTTGGCAGCCTGAGAGGCCTTGAGGGAGCCATAAAGAAGCAGCAGCAGTAGCAAAGTGCGGATGTTTCCGTGACAGCCGGTCCGATCCGGCGCACGCGCTGCGGGCTGAAACATGATCACAGCCCGAGCACACATCCACACCGGCAATCAGAGAGCAACAAAAGCCAGGTATTATTTAATGAAGGCCAGAGGGTTAATTGCATTGCCTCGTGAAGCAGTTGTCAGAGAAAAGGTTTCCTCTCATGTCTCTCCTCTCTTATCTCGGCCTTCAATTAGAGTAAAATATGAGTTTGGTTCTTTCATAGGACGTAATCCTCTTCTCCTCCTTTACTCCATCACTCCATCATCTGACCACTGTTGTGGGCTGCTGCTTTTGTGTCTCCTTTCCTATAGAGATCTTTCAGTTAGAACATTAGGAAGAACAAAGATGGACGACAGGTTTTTTTCCTCTTTCTCCCTCCTTCTCTGTGTCTCTTTCCCCTCGACCTCAATCAGAAGTTTTTAATCTGCGCCGTTCCCCTGGGCAGGGATTTGGTGTATGTCAGAGCCCTCAGGCCGTCTCAGGTCCACAGGCTTCAGAGTGAACTAAAGATGAAAAAGAGAAGGGAAGTGAGACAGTGCTTAGAGAAAACAGAAAAGGGCAAAGGAATTTGAATTGGTATGAGATTTTCAATAGCGTTTTTCTCCGTGCTTAACCTTTTAACTGCAGCATTATGAAGAGGGAGAAGACGTTTATGCATCACAAATATTTTCTTTTATGCAGCCTGGCGACATCTACATCTGGTTACATTTGGTTTCCACATATCAGCCTTGACATAGATCATCACAGTGCTGCAACGTTCTTTCAGCCTTCCTTTCTCTTGCATCATGTTGCAAACTAAAAAGAAGTAGGTGACTGTTTTGTGGTTTGAGAAGCAGCAGAAGCATACAAAACATTATTATCTCTGCCTCAAACCCGTCAAATTATTAAGTCTTTTTGGGTTTAAAGGAAAGTTCAATAGCCTGAATTAGTTTCTGATAAAGTTTAAATCTCTTTCTGCCAAATGGACCACTCCAGCATTTCCTAGGGATGTGTGTTTATGAAAGGCAGAATGATTTACACATATTATGATAGATGGAACCCGTACGTGGGTCTCCGAGGCTTCTCTACGTCTGAGGCTTGCAGTAAAGAAAAGAACCGGTACAGCAACAACAGCCGGAGTAAAGTGGGAGGAATGAGTCTGAAACCGATGTGAAGCTAATAAACATGCAAGGTGGCTTTTACAGAAGAAAAAAAATCTAAACAAAGTCTGCTTTGCTTCTGAATGGTTATGTGCATATTTGCTCAATTTCTCCATCTTGTAATATGTTTGGAGAATTACAAGATTTAATGGGAGAAATGAATGTTTTTAACCCCGGCAGGTCTACCATGGAAGCGTGCACTGCACTTAACTGCATAAGCTAAGCCACTAAAGCAAAACGATCTAAAAATGAAGTGATTTTTTACTATGATTTAACTACAGTACATTAAATTCCATTGTTTCCTGATTATGATACTTAAAAGCAGTGGTGGCCAATCCTGGTCTTGGAAGGCCGGTATCCAGCATGTTTTAGTTGTCTCCCTGCTGCGAAACACCTGATTTCAATCTGCAGGAAATCAAAAGGCGTCTGCAGAGACTGCTGAACTGAATCAAGTGTGCTGGAGCAGAGAAACTACTAAAACATGCTGGGCACCCCTGATTTAAAGCCAGAAAAAAATATAAATTAAGATTAACTTTTTAAACTGAACCATTTATTGATTAATACTGATATAAAACCTATGTAGAAATGTATTTTCATTATATATAACCCCATAATAACAACAATAATGAAATAAAAGTGGCCCCTTGCCACCTGTAGATCCTCCAACAGAGGGCATAAAACATGAGTGGGACTGGATGTGGTTCCTTTAAGATAAAACTACTAATCCCAATAATCAATTTTAAGGCTTTTAATCCAGAGGGAAAAATCGTACACAAGGGGGTTATAATTATATATATATATATATATATATATATATATATATATATATATATATATATATATATATATTTATATTATATATATATATATACATATATATATATATATATATATATATAGTGTTAACAGTTTTAATTGGCAATAGATAAATAAAACCAAAAACTGTGCATTGTTTGTTAAATGACATGATACTACAAGATAAAGAGGAATCCCATACTTAAATAGCTGTGTGGAGTTCTTAGTCTTTTTGAGGACATCCTACAGGACACTCCCAAATAACTGCAGCAGATACGTGCACACTAGTAACATAAGATCCTCAAAGGACTTTGCGTTGCTCGTTGCCTTTAATGCAAGTTTAAGATCAGAGCTTAAGATCTCCTACCATGTCAGACATTAGCTCATCATTTGTGAAAGTATAGCCATGTTTAAGTCTCATAAGTCAATCAGCTGCAGAGTCCAGGAGACAAGTAAACCAGTTATAGATTTATATCCATAGAAGACTTTCACAAAGTTTTATTGAATAGAACAGCATTTGCTTTTGTGTATCGTTTTGTGCTGTTATGTGGGTCTCCACTGCCTTGGTCAATACTTCATAGATAAAAACCATCCCATCCATTTTCTGTACGGTTTAGGATTTGGTAATCCCTTGCTGCTATGAGCTGAGTGAACATAGAGCAACCCTTCACCTGTCGACACCGGAGGAGCAGCAGCTCTACTCAAAGCCCCTTCCGGATGTCCAAGCTCCTGACCTGATAGAAGCCAATTGGGGACCCTAGAACTATTATAATTTATCTAAATCACACACACACACACACACACACACACACACACACACACACACACACACACACACACACACACACACACACACACACACACACACACACACACACACACACACACACACACACACACACACACACACACACACACACACACACACACACTCTCTCTCTCTCTCTCTCTCTCTCTCTCTCTCTCTCTCTCTCTCTCTCTCTCTCTCTCTCTCTCTCTCTCTCTCTCTCTCTCTCTCTCTCTCTCTCTCTCTCTCTCTCTCTCTCTCTCTCTCTCTCTCTCTCTCTCTCTCTCTCTCTCTCTCTCTCTCCCTCTCTCTCTCTCTCTCTCTCTCTCTCTCTCAAAAAAGTTATCAGCCACCTTTAGGCTTTTGACGTCACGTAATAAAACTTTACAGAATACTTTGAGATAGCGGTACTCACCAGCACAACTTAAAAACTTTTAAAACTAAATTTACACAACAGAGTTTCTAAAAGTTTAGAAACTTTTCCTTTTTTCATTTAACATTTTTCCACTTGATCTACGCCCCATCCGTCTGTGAGCTCACGGTCACAAAGAAGCCAGGCTTCATCTAAACATCGTTTCAGTTCCCTCAGTGAATCAACTGATCGCCACAAAGGCCACAACCACGCTGGCCTTTCTTTGAAGTCTAATAACACACGAGCATCTCATGGAGGAGAAGCAGCTGGCTGGTCAAGGATCTGTTGGTGCGTTTTGACCATCAGCCTTTTGTTTTGGTCTCCAATGCAACAAAGAACCTGTTCCAAGTTATTTGGCCATCTCCTTTGTGAGTTGGATTTGAATCCGAGCGAGTGGAGCCAGCACAGATGCCGTGGGATTTGGTTTTGCAACCCAATTCATAACATTATTATCAAAAGAATTTCAAAGAGACAACGTTGCTCAACTTTCTTTGGTTAAACCACTTTGGTGCTACACCACACCCCCCTCGGGTTTCAGTTAAACAGTAGGAGTCGTTTAAAGGTCATCACGCCACGAATGCTGGGCGGCTGTGGGGAGACTGATAGAAGTCTGATGTTTCTGTGAGCTTCATGTTCCTGAGCTGCTAAAGGTGAGAGCAGAACATTATTATGGTAATTTACTATGCTCAGCTCAAATAACAGCTATTAGGCACGCTATCATTTTCTGTGATGGTTTTATAATGGAAAATATCAACATAAATAATATAAGATGGCTAATATCCTATTGTCCTCCTGCATTAAAATAAGGTATGTTCAAGCCATAAAGGAAAATAAATGTTTAAATTTGACCATTTTTTGCATTTAATTTAAAATTTAACATTTATTTTCTCTTCATGTAAGCCGTGGCTGGACTGTAAACAACCATCAACTCACCAGACCCTTGTCTGCAAACAAAAGGTTTAAATAATTGATTACCATACAGAAAAAGAACATTCCACGATAAAACCTTGTTGTATTTCTCCCAAATGAAGATTCTTTCCTTATTCCGGGATTGTAAATACGCTCGTGTTCCACGGAACGTGGAGCAAGATCTGGCGTCTCCACACTTCGCACAGTAATGCACATCTCCACACTCTGACACGATTATTACCTCTATTCTCCTTTTTGTCACCGACACTCCCACACAGTTGCGATCATGCCAGAGAAACACACCGAATGTGCCAATACTAGCCATTCTGTATGTAGATGTCTGAAGCCTGTTAAGTCTCGCAACAATAAAGAGTTCTGAAAGAACAATCTCCCTGCACACGGTGGCAGAATAGGGTTGTAGGCATTGGTTTGTCAGCGGAGTGGGTTAAAGCCTTGGATCAGCAATGGCTGAGATTCATTGAGAGCATATTGGAAGTGACAGGGTCCTTTGAATACACCCAACTATCTCCTACTGAGTGAGAAGTAATTTTTCAGAGTCGATTCAATGTAGGTCCATTTAAGCTGCTGCAGAACAGACGACGACCGGGAGGCCAGCCAGCTCACCTCAGCTCTCACAACCAAATGCAAACCAAAGACTGACAGCAAACGCTGAGATGAAGAGAGCGAGTTCTGCTACTAGCGCTGCATGGTACAGGTGGGGAAGGGGGGTCCAGCTGTGACTGCTGAATTGTTCAAATAAGAAAGTGTTCTGAGATGGCAGAATCAAAGTCAGTGGGATCAAACTTGTGATTGTGGGACAGACAATCTGGTGGGATGAGAGTACGTACGCCTCCTTTGGAATTAAAGCACTCACCAGTGTGAACAAGAGTCTTATCTGCTCAAGTGCTGCAGAAATAGTCCTCGTGAAATATTTCCTTGATAAGTTTGTTTTGCATCCTTTCAGATCAACATCATGTGGTGTTTGCTTTCAGACCTGAATGCAAGTAAATCTTTCCTTAATAACTCAACAGATCTCTGCTATCTCAGCAGTCCTGTCTTGTCCTGTGAAATAATCATCTGGGAAATATCATCGCTTATCTGAAACGCAAGAATTCCATTTTTCTCCGCCGTCAGTGTTCCACCTTCAGGATTTTATCCCCTGTGATATGAAGGGATGCTCCTCTAAGTGTTGGGTGCACAGAAGTGTTTTCAGTCACAGCTCTAATGTAAAACACGGCATTCAACACAAATGCTATTTCAGGCCTGCCAGATTGTAAATCCACCTAAGTTCCAGCTTGCTTTTAAAATGGAGACAAGAGGATCTGGGCTGCCAGGGCACCATATAAACAGAATGCACATATACTTAGAGATGACCCTTTAATATTTTACTTCTGTAAACATGCACGGTGCAGACTAGAGGCAAAAACAACAGAAACTGCTTACCAGCAACAAAATGTCAGTGACAGCTGCAGGAAACACTAGATTTACATCATGAGAGCAAACCTTCCTCAGCTGCAACAGCACAAGCATTTAAAATATAATAACCTTCAGGCAAATGAGTGCGTGTATGGAAAACTGCAGCAGCTAAATATGAGACTTTATCATTTCCCAGCTTTTCTGTACGTTTTTTAAGGGGGGTGTGGCTGTTTTCTTCTGTGTACCTGCCCAAGACATCAACGAGTTTAAAAAATAATTTGTGCCGTTTACAAAGTAAATGATTAAGATCACAAAGATTTTCTAGCAGTTAAAGTTTAGTTCTGGTTTACAACCATTTTCATAAATGTTGCTTTTCGTGTTTTTTTTCCCAGCAAAATAATGAAAATTCCCTAACTTACACTCTGCATATCATACAGATGTGCCAAAACAGCTGCCGATTATGAAAGGCCAATAAGCAGCATGATAAACCGGTCGGAAACTAAATAAATCTTTCTTTTCTTTTGAAATCCCTGAACGCATCATTTCCAAGCAGTAATAAAGACAATCCCAACATATTTCCTGGTCCTCGTGAGCTCAAATTTGCGCAAAAAATGAATGGAACTTTATTCATGATTTTTAAAATGTTTCTACTAATTAAAGACACTGGATTCATCTAAAATCTGCGTTACTAGGTCAGAGCAGTAGAATCAGTGCTGGCCCTCAAAAACCATGGTCAGTGCATTTCTTGCAATATAATTAAATAAATTACAAGTTTTTGACATTTACAGTATAAGACAGCAGAAATGCTTTGTAGCCAGCCCCACTCAGACTAGCCATTAGCTTATGTGACTTGTCAGAATTAATCTTTGTTTCTCCAAACTGAGGTTGCTCAACAATAGCTATGATGCAAATTTATTGAAACAGAGTGAAATTATTAGAAATTCACTTCAAAATATCAAATTCTCTGAGTCATTCGTTTTAAAATAAATTAGAACAACAGGAATTATTATAAGTAGTTTAAAAAATAGGATGTTAGGAAACCATCCCCTGGGGCAGAAGGGTGATGGCTGACATTGTGGATCAAACTTGCCGCCTGCTTTCATAATATCAACTAAAACTGTGCATTCTCACACAAAAACTAAGATTATTTATAGACATTTGGTCTAAGTGACTTCAATTAAATGAGCATTTTTCTAAGCGTGCATGTGAGAATCTGTGTGCATGGGAATGTATATGTACTGTGTGTGTGTGTGTGTGTCTGTGTCTGTGTGTGTGTGTGTGTGTGTGTGTGTGTGTGTGTGTGTGTGTGTGTGTGTGTGTGTGTGTGTGTGTGTGTGTGTGTGTGTGTGTGTGTGTGTGTGTGTGTGTGTGTGTGTGTGTGTGTGTGTGTGTGTACGCATATATCTTTGTATGTAACCACATTGTCTATACATGAGTATAGGTGGATGTATGAATGTGTGTTTGTATGATTGTATGTGTAAGTATGCATAGATACAGATGTCTATATGCAATTCAATTCAAGTTTATTTATAAAGCGACAAATCACGACAAGAGTCGTCTCAAGGACCTTCACACTGTAAACATTCCAATACAGGTCAGTTCATTAAGCCAATCAGTAAAACGTTTCCTATATAAGGAACCCAGCAGGTCGCATCGAGTCACTGACTAGTGTCAGAGTCTTAAATCCTCATACGAAGCAAGCATGCAGCGACAGTGGAGAGGAAAACTCCTTTTTAACAGGAAGAACCCTCCAGAGGATCCTGGCTCAGTACAAGCAGCCATCCTCCACGACTCACTGGGGATCGAGAAGACAGAGCACACACACACACACACACGCACACACACACACACGCGCACACACACACACACACAAACACGCCTGCACATCATATATACCAAGTGTTTCTATGGCTACAGTGTGATTTCTTAGTAAATGTTCTATTTAGTAAGAGATAAACTTTATTGTATTCATCCTAGTGAATCTATAATTACTTCAACAGGTAAACTAGTAGTAGCACATTCCATGTCAAAGAAAGTAAAAGGCCACCACAGCTAAGCAGAACACCATTGTAGCTTCTTCTGGGGAGAAAAACACTTAAGATAAAAAATAAAGTAAACAGCTGAAATAGCAGGAAATAATACAATTGAAGAGTAAATTGTACAAGAAAGTAGTCGAGTGTGGAAAGTGGTCAGTGTGTCCTCCAGCAGTCTAAGCCTATAGCAGCATAACTACAGAGATAACTCTGGATAACCTAGCCTTTTAGATGGAGGCATGTTGGAGTCAGGGCAAGGGAGAGCCGTCTTTACCGAGTGTACACTCCACCTCCCTCTACTCTTTATGGCTTAATATATTCATTTTCATGCAGTCATTTATGAATGAGCAAACATGAATTTATTGCAACTATTTGCACCTACATGGACTCATGCAGTCTGTGCTGGAATTACTGCACAGAAGGAAACTGTTTACTTGGACTTTTAATATGGACAGAAAGGGGTGGGATCTAATAATCTGTTGCTTCATCCTACTTCTTATTTGAGTACTGTATCATTTACATGGATTTGAACCTTGATGTTTTTCTTGTTTTTGAATGCACCCGTTTGAATAAACTTCAACTTAACAATAACGTTGACCACTCAAATCAATTTGCAACTCAATCAATGAGCCCTTTCTTCTAGAATAAAGCTGCACTGGCTAAACTGGAATACAAATTAGCGTGAAAGACTTTTTTTCATGCATCTTCACAACGTTCTAACACCTTATAGCTATAAATATATTATGGAGATAAAAAATAAAAAACACCTCGGTCGATAACATGTTTCAGACTGAAAGTAACTATTGGAGCATCTGGTTGTTGGTCTCGCTGAGCCGTCGCTCTTCTGCATTTACCTGGGTCCTCCACTCATTACGCACTAGTGTATTTAGCAGCAGAACACCATTGGTGTGAGAGGTTCTCAGAGAACCAGCCGGCTGCTACCACTTCACCTTTAGGACAAACTGCCAGAGTCCCAAAAAGAAAAAACACCATTTGAAGTCACAGACAACAAAAGATGTCTGGACCTAGAAACAGCGACGGGTGTTTAGCACTATCTGGTTTCCTCTGGCATCACACGTTTCAGGTTCCATCAAAAGTGTCTCAGAACCAGCTAGGTGCTCAAAACCTAGCTGGTTCTGTAGATTTGCTATAACAGCTTGAATAAAATGCTTTTAAATGCAAACAAATCACAGCAAATCCACTGCTCCAATAAAAACAGTAAAAACCACGTAATACTGGCCTTTCAGAGGTTTTTGAGATGACATTCAGGCAAAATCACTGCAGCCTTTTCTTGTATAAAACTGAACCTAATAGATGAACAGCACATTGTGTATCTGGTCCCATCAGTCACAAACTCACTTTGTGTCCTGCCAGCTTCTTAAAGCAGTCGGCGTTATTCCCTCTGACAGCTACCTCCTCAGACTGCTTTCCTCTTCCTTTAGCTCATCATCCTTCTGGGCTTTAGACAGATTTCGTCCCAGTTACCTCCTGCTCTAAAGATGTCTGATGTCGTAAACTCGTTTTCAGCCTTCATAAATTAATCTCCTTTCCGACAGCCTAACATGTTGCATGAGACTTGACTTGACACTGTTGCAGGTAAAAGTGGGTCACCCGGACACATTGAGGGATGAGTGTTAATCTTACAGGACGTTCCCCAGCAACAATATTCCTGCAGAGGGTCATGTTGGATCATACTATCCCTATTAATACCCAACTTCATCACTGCAGAGGTTATTTAATCTTAAAGAGAACTAGTTGTTTTTAAATCCACTTACCAGAAAATGTTCTTGTACGTGAGCCAATTCAAGCAAGACTCAAGGCTGTGGTTGCCATGAGTAACAATGGCACAAAAAAGGGTGTCCTTCTGATCTATTCAGTCTGCCAGCCCTCACGTGCGCTTCACCTGGAAACAGGACAAAAGCAGGTCGGTCTTTGAAGCAAACAAATCTACTCTGCAGACCCGCCGCAGCACTTTCACACCATCTTGCATTTTTATCACTTCAGACTGGAGATTTCACAGCTTTTCTCTGGTCATTTCACACCCATTAAAAGAAACATATAATAAACACAAGCAAAGGTGCGTTTGTCATGAACGTTTACTTGTATTCATCAGGGTGCCCTGAGGCCCGAGGAGCTGCTGGATGGGAGAGAAACTTTTCAGAGAGGGTGCTCCTCTCTCACATGGGCAGGAGGGGTTCTCTAATCGACACTCCAGCATGTTGATGCTGCACAGCAGATCAATAGGAAGGTAGGAGTGCTGCCCTGTGGAAAATGGGTGGAGAGAGCAGGGCTTGGCTTGCACACGGACCGGAGTGCTCAGTGGAGGCTGCCACTTTGTTGCTAATGAAAGAATAAAGGACTGAAGCGACCTTAAAGAGATTCATCAGCTAGGTGGATCTAACTCGTAAGCAACTGGAATTTTTTTTTTTAGGAGAAGCAAATTTAAAAAACCACAATGCAGTTATTGCAATTAGACCCATCTGTCATCAGGCTGCAACTCAGCAATATTACACAGTCGTTCCGTCATGATTTAGTCACTCTGTTTAACAGGAAACATTTGTTTATTCCAGCAATTCACTCAAACCTTTACATGTTATACTCTCAGCATTAGGCTAGATTTCTGTTAAGTATTTATTGCAGCATCAAAATATTTTATTTATTTGAATATCTAGTGACTGAAGTCGCAATCAGTTCCCACAGTAATTATCAGTAAACACAGTTTCTTATTCCCAATCACACTTTTCAGTTGTGGAAATTTGACAATGTGTGTATTTTGTATAAATAATCAGTATGTCTTTATCTATCCCTGCATATTTCCACACTTTTTCTGACCTAATAGCGATTCTCAGATTGTTAAAATTCAAGAAAGAAAAGGAAAAAAACTCATTGTGCCACTAATTTAGCAGAGATATTTGTCTAAGTCCGCGTATAGGACACAATCAAATAACTCACTGATGTGTTTGAAACTCTTAAGTTTAATTTGTTAGATTTTTCTGCACAAACACATTTCTGAATGAGCTGCGGGACAGAAAAGCAAGGTGACCCTAAATAACAAATATTGCCTGATTTAAAATATTTTTTTATTATTATTCAAAGGAAAATGAGGTGATTTGAACACTGAATGCTCTAGTCACTTAAAGGGAGACATTGCAAATGTGTCATATTTTTAAGTGATTTTCTTGAGCCAGTATGTGCTAAAATGACCCTTTACAGGGTTAATGAAAGGCCCAGCCCCTATTGCCCTCTGTGGCCAAAATATTTCCCTTACAGCTGCGGAGATGCTGAGCCGCTCAAGAAAAAAAAATCTGCTGACATCCTTGATAAATGATAAATGACCCACACTTGTATAGCGCCTCTCAAAGTAAGGACTCCAAAGCGCTTTACGCTACAGTGTATCATTCATCCATTCACACACACAGCTGCCCTGGGGCGCACTGACAGAGGAGAGGCTGCTGAGCACAGGTGCCACCGGTCCTTCTGACCATCACCAGTGGGCAAGCTGGGTTAAGTGTCTTGCCCAAGGACACAACAGCAGAATTCTCTGTCCGGAGCCGGGATTGAACCTGCAATCTCCCGATTACTGGACAACCCGCTCAACCTGTTGAGCTACTGCTGCCCTTGGCACTGCAGTCTGGTTCCTGCATGTTTTAGATCATGAACCCAGTTGATTTGTTTAATTTAGTAATGAATCACTCCTGTAGACACTGTGGAAGCCTGGGAGGCATTTGAGCTGTTAAATTAATGTTAAAAAGACAAACGCACAGCCAGGAGATAGTTTTGCATTCGGTTCTTCAAACAGCCACTAGAGGTGCTAAAAGCAACCCTAAAATGCCCGTCCCCCTTTAACCCTCCCACTGTCCTAATTTGTGTGATCCCACGAGGAAAGTTGACCATTGAGCCGGGTTGATGGTTTATCCCTTGGGTCCATGTGGCAGGGGTGAGGAGTGAGCACCACCTCACCCCTGCCATGTGGACCTCAAGGGATAAACCATCAATCCTGCTCAGTGGTCAACTTTCCTCGAGGGGTCACCCATAAAGACAGTGGGAGGGTTAAACATATTCCTTTTCTGGGTTTGTGATTATGTTGCTTGGGAAGTACATTTGTCTTTTGTGTGAAAATAAGTTTAACGTAAATGAAAAAATGATGCAAAAAGAGGTTCAAGTGTGTTTACTGATAGGCCGCCATTATTCGATCCCCCTATTTTCTACAGGTCTGAGTCTTTGCACACAGCGTCCAGAATCAGTTGTTTCACTCTCAAAAACCCTGATGAATCCACCTTTCATGTGCAACAATAGATAATTACTTTGTCTCAGAGATTCCTACTTCAGCACATTTTGCAGAAATAATGAGATATTGAGTTCAACACAAAATAAAGAAGAGGGTTCCAAGAAAGTATGGATCGATCAGTTATCAATCAGCACATTCTCATCTTTATTCTGCTCCAAACTGGGAACTTTTTGGGTGACGGTTAAATGGCTGAAGCCACACAAAGTCTCTGCTTGATGTCTCACACCTAACAGATCGAGAAATTTGAACATCAGGCTGTTCTAATCAGAGATAATCAGCTGTTATCGGCTTCTGTTTGTTTCCTCTTTAGATATACTCATAAAGGAAAAGATTGATCATTATAGTGTTCCACTTTCACTTTAAATAACTGTTGGAGCTTACTAGAGTGAAAAGAAGCTGCCATGTTCTTCGGGTGAAGATAGCAGACCATGTGTGGTGGTGGGTTTCAGGAGGCAGAAGAGCAGGCAACGGATGAAAAAATAAAAATATGTTTAATTGTAGAACGGGAGCGACAGGACAAACGAACATGCACAAAACGACAATGATCTGACGAAGACAGCAACAAGGAGGGAGGTATAAATACACAAGGGAATCAGGAACACATGGGCAGAGTAATGAGGGACAGGTGAGAACAATAAGGGTAATCAAGGCAGGAGAGACACAGTCAGGGAGGCCGGGGTGGATCATGACAGAAGCAGGTCGTGGATCCAGTAAACAGCTGTAAAACCAATCTGACAGCTGGATATAGGAGTTTTATTTATATTTTATTTGTGAGATTCCAATTAAAGTTCATGAAAAAGGCCTTTAGGTCTGAAAATATCATGGAAACAATTTTAGTTTCTCTCAAGTCAAAGTGAAATTAATTTTATTCATGAATACAGTCTGGTATAGAAATCCTCAGTAGTCAAATGAATCAATTTTCCAATTAATTCACAGTATTAATTGCACCAGCAGCGTAATGAACTTGGTCGTGTAAGACCAGAACCAAGCAAATGAAAGTTTTTTTCTGTGAGTGAATCCATTTGAGTTTCTGTGACAATGAGACACGTTTCTTATGGCTGGGAATCCGTTCTGCTGATCTTACACTGCAAAAAACAGTTTTCAAGAAATGAACCCTCCCACTGTCCTAATGGGTGACCTTGCGAGGAAAGTTGACCATTGAGCAGGAATGATGGTTTATCCCTTGGGTCCACGTGGCAGGGGTGAGGAGTGAGCACCACCTCACCCCTGCCACGTGGACCTCAAGGGATAAACCATCAATCCTGAGGGTTAATTAATTGTTTAATATTAGATCTTTTGTCCTATTTTTTTAGTCCAAAAATTATCTGGACCAACAAATAACTAAATAGTACCGTAGATTATTTTGTTAGTCTTAAGATTTCCAAACAACTTTTTATTACCGCATTGGCAGATTTTTTAAAATCTCATTTAATTCGATTTATTTATATAGTGCCAAATCCCAACAAGAGTCTTTTGAAGGGACTTTACAAAGTAAACATTCCAACTGAACCTACTTATCAGTGCATTGAGTTCAGTTCCTTCTGCCGGTTAGTTAGGTTTCCTGTGTAAGGAAACCCAGCAGATTGCATCGAGTCACTAACTTGTGTCAGAGATTAAATCCCCACAGACAGAAAAGAAGAAGAAACAATTTACAAGGCTTTCATTCCTACTGGAGACTGCAGCAAATGGATTAAAAGTATGAGTAAAGTTGACCTTTAAGAATATTTACCTAATTTCAAGTTGTGCTGTTTTTTAACTTAAGATTTGTTTTCGTTCAAGACAAAAAATTATATCAGGTTTTTGCAGTGTAAAATTGGAGTCAGTCGTCATAATCAGAATAGTTCAATCACAGCCATGTGCATGAATGTGGATTTATAAAAACTTATATTGTACCAGTACTGTATTAAATGTATGGTGTATATTATATTTCAACAAGAAAATTTAACATAATAGTGTTGATTACCTTTTTCTTGGTTATGTCATAAATTATTTTTTTATTGTTTAATCAGAAAATAGATTAAAGGTGCATTATGTAGAAATGAAGTAAAAAAAATTAGTAAAAAGTAAAATGTGGTTACTGCAACCTCTTTCAACAACTCCCTATTTAAAGGCAACAAAAGCTAAATGGCAGGTCTCCTTATCTGGTTACTTTTTCATTAGTTGTGACATATTTAAAGAAACACAGTAAATAACATCAGAAATACTAAGTAATGTCTCTGGTTTATGGAGACTGTGTGTGACTGTGGCATTTCTACGCGGTACATATTAGTAAGTCATGGGTCTGTTATGTTAATTTAAAGTTTTACGGTTTGATTTTAAGTTTGTCCAGTTCAAACTTATGAGAATGTGTGAAAAAAGAAAGAAACAAAGTAAACAAAAGTTTGGTTGCTGGTGTGAAAAACACCTTAAATCTTACAAACACTATCAGATTTATTACTGTAGGGTTATTCTGCATGAGTACTGAATATCATTTATGCAAACAACCATTTTCAAATATCAAATATCCTGCACAAAAACAGAAGACTGTGGACAAATGTCCCATTCAGGCCCCTAAATTCAGCTGCACAGGAAAGAGCACCACAGAAAAGCTTTAAATGACCGCTGGGGTGCTGTAC